TCATGCATCTATGTGTATTAAATATAGTTTTTATTAAATAAGAAGTGAGGTGGAGACTCATCAAAAATTTATAATTTTTAATAAATTTTAATTAATAATACAAAATATATTGTTAATATTTTTTAACTCTAAAATGTTTAGATAACTGAAAAATAATTTCTCAGTAATTACCACTTGATGAGATCCTAAACCTTCATAAAATTTATTAATATAATTTATTTTTATTATAAAGTAAACAAAAGAAATTAAAAGAATTAATGGTGATATTTTAACTTGATAAAGTTTTTTTTTTCCTATTAAGAAAATGATATTCTCCCTTCAACAACAGTTGAATTTGCAATTAAACACATGGAACAAACATGCTTTTTATTATTATTATTATTATTTTGACCGGAATCAATGATTGAATTTGGTAAATCTTAAATCCCAATCCCTAAAAGGAAAGTTTACTAAGCATTGGACACAACAAGTAGAGTTAAGATTTAAGTTGGAACTTATTATGGTGCTCTAGCCTGTGTTCCTGAGTACAGGTCTGCATCTTCAACACTGCCATCAAACAGAAGAACTCCACCTTCACAATTTTTTAATTCTCATCCAACTGCATGTGTGGAGAAAATTTGTTAATATAATGTTATTAACTTATTTTTATGATTGGTAGAAAGTTAGTATAATTATGGTAATAATGGTCAATTTTTTTATTTTTAAATAATAAATTTAAGTCTAACTCAATCTTACAAAATTGACTTGAAAAATATGCTGTTTCTCTAATTATTTCAACCTTATTAATTGTTTAGTTACAATAGAAAGGTAAAAAGTCTACACAAAATTTATTTTACCGTTGTCGTTTTATTTATTATTCATGATAAAACTTTGCATTTCCTCTCTTTGACCCATCTAAATGATAAGACCTTTTGAATGGCTCAAAAAGCATAAACAGGAATTTGTCCCAAAGTGTTGGAATTTCGATCCAAGGGAATATTAGGTTTGCCTTTTGAGTTTGATAAAATCATGTCACTTTGTCAATTTATAAATAATTTTTTTATTACTTTTCATTCAAGAAAACAAATGACAACGCTAGTTAAACAATAGGACCACATAAAAATAAAGAAAATTATCATGGGTGAAGCGAAAAGAAATAACGAGAAAAAATAAACACTAGAAAGTAAAGTGATGAAAAAATAAAATAATGTTTGTGTATATATTAATAATGACCCTAAAAATAAATGTAATGTGTGTTAATGTTTGAAGGAATTTAAGGGACAAATCCTTTCTTCTAAAGTCTTTACATTATTATGCCTACAACTGTCACCATATCCAATGCATAAAACGCGCGGCCTATAGTTTTTTCAATTTCAAAAATGAAAAAAAAAAAAAAACTTTACTATAGAATATCATAATCTACCAATAAGCGAGTCCTTGGTCTCCTATGAAAAAGAAGAAAAAAAAACTTATAAATCCCCGAATAAAATTGAATTAAATAAAATTTTAAGTACGAATCTTATAGATAAATAAAAAATTATTAATGATAATTAATTAAATTATGTGATATAGATTAATTAATAAAAAAATTAATAATATTTCATACTAATATTACGTTGATAAAAAAAATATAGGTTCAGAATTCTTTCATGTTAATATTTTTAGGAACTCTTTCCATGATAGTTTTGATGATGTGGTTAGAAAATACCATCTCTATCTTAATTCATGAATGAGAGTGCTTTTAGAATATTTTTAAACGGGAGCATTTTTTTAAACAAAAGTATTTTTAGAGAATTTTCAAATTTTCTTATATAATTTATATATTTATATTATTTTTTTAAACTAAATTTTCAAAAATTTTAGAAAATATTATGCACCTTGTTTGCAATTAGTTAATGATTTTATCCCTTGACTTCATATTTTACTCAATTGATTACTTTTTACATGTATAACTCATGTATAACTCAACCTTATACTCTATACGGATCAATATTTTGATCGCTTTATGATCGATATGGCTCGATCCGACCCTTATACTGTTTCCATATAAAACTCAGAAGAGACAACTTAAAAATAATTGTTCATTTAGGAGTCAACTTACTTACTCAAAGATTTTCAACTATGGGCTCTCGAAGCACTACTACATATATCCACACATGTCTATACAACTTTCATCAACTTACTACATACAACTTAAAACAATATACATCTTGCAAATTTAAACAGCATCATACATCAACCTAGATCAACGCATAATGAACTATAATCATACAACATCATGATGAATCATCATACTTCAACAATTAGACAACTTAGAACATTAAGTTTTATTTTAGTGAATCACGTTCAACACGATCTTTCCTATGCTCATCATCATTGAGGTAGAGAGCCTCAAGCTCACCCATGTCCAATGTCAATCCACCTACGTTTGGTGTGGATAAGGTAGATAGCCTCTTAGTCAATCACACTTGAAGTAGATAACCTACGCCTAACCTCATTCAAGTAGAGAACATTTGTCAAAAAGCATATGCTTGACCCACGTTTGGCGCCACTAAACTTATGTCCAACTTCATCTAGGCAAAGACCTTCTATCTTAATCATGTTTGTCGTCTCTCAACCAATGCTTAATGTCACCAAGTCAGTAAATCCCTTAAGTAATAATACTCAACACCTATTATTCCATGTCCGATGTGACTAAGTTAGAGAGTTCCCTATTGATCCACAATTGACGCTACCAATCATGCATCTGACGTGATAAGGGCAGATAGCCCCTAACTTGAGTCATGCTTGACGCCATAAAGCCATGCCCAACGTTATGAAGATTTCTACACTTGGTAGAATCTCATTTTGGCTCAAAACCAACAATTCACTCGAACAAACCAACATGTAATCATATTTTCAACACAATTTCAACTTATATGATCCATATTTAGCATAAGACATCACACGCAACCACTACACTTTAAATTCATCAATCTCTACTCAAAGCACCTTCAATAAAACCACAACTCAACCAACTCATCATACCATCCGAATTCATTCAAAGGTGGCTAACAAATCATGAATTATAACATTTGCTTAACAACATAACTCAACAACAATCAATCACAAACATTCTTTACCTTGAATTGCCTGAAAACGAGAAGAGGAGTAGGAGAAGATAGAAGGAGAACTCAAACTTCTCTACTTGACTCTCAAATCATGAAATCTCAACTTCCAAGCTTCGAATCACCAACTAGTTAGCTCTACTCAGCTATGGGGGGGGGGGGGGGGGGGTTGAGG